TCTTAGTATAATTATATGATGTAATCTGCATGTTTTATTTTTTGTGTTGACTATGTTTTTAAAAATTGTTGTGTGCAAAAATGTTTACAGATTAACCACATATATGTGGTAGAAAAAAAAAATTTTTTTGAGAGAGTGCGCACCAGGAGAGGAGAGGTAGAAGGAGAAAGAAAGAGAATCTTAAGCAGGTTCCATGCTCAGCATGGAGCCTGAAGGAGACTCCATGTGGGGCTCGATCTCATGACCCTGAGATCATGACCTGAGCCGAAATCAAGTCAGCCATTTAACTGACTGAGCAACTCAGGCGCCCCAGGAAAACTTGTTCTTAAAGAGATTTTATCTACAATTGTTCCATTATGTACATCACTGTGGATATTTGGTATACAAACTTTGCTAAGTTAAGAAAGTTCCCTTCTAGTCTTAATTCTGTAAGAGTTACTATTATTTATTAAAATTACATGAGACGCTAGACTTTATCAAGTGTTTAGAAATTGAGTGGGATAATTTCATAATTTTTCTCCTAGAGTTTATTAATGTTGTGAATTACATAGATAAAATTTCTAAGGATAAATCATTCTTGTATTCCTGGGATAAATCCTACTTTATCATGATGTGTTGTTATTATTACTGTATCACCATTGTGGATTATTTCTTAATATACCATTGAATTCAGCAAACCAAAATTTTATTTAGGATTTTTGAATCTCTGTTTACAAATTAAATGGGCCTGCCATCTTTTCTTGTTTCAAAATCAAGAATCACATCAGTCTTTTATTTTCAAACTACTTGTGACTTTTTCAAGTAAAAAGTTTATTTGAAAAACTTCTCTAGTTTCAAAATCAAGAATCACATCAACCTTTTATTTTCAAACTACTTGTGACTTTTTTGTTTTGATTCTATCTGAGAGACAGCATAGTGTTAGGTTTTTTAGTTTTTTTTTTTTTTTTTTTTTTTTTTTTTAGAATTTAAAGTCAGTCCAGGAATCTGTATCTTTTAATTGGTGAGTTTAATGTTTTTTATATTTATTACAATTACTGTGTTATTAGAACTTATCCTGTTATCCCATTTCTATTTTCCATTCACCATATTTTTTTATACCTCCTTCCTGTTTTCCATAGAAAGATCCAGTTTTCTTCAGCTGGTTTAAAAATGTGACATTCTATATCTGTTTTTAGAGTAAGAACAAAAGTGGCAGTTGCCCCTTACTTCTGATCCATACTTAGGTTTATATTTTCCCCTGTTGATTTCTTAAATTTGTCAATACCTATACTTTCCCTTTTGTAAAACAAAAACAATAGCACATTTTAATTTCTCTTTGATCTCCTCTAGGTCCTCACATTACATGCCTCTGCAAATTAAACAAAATATAAGGTGAATAGTGTCTCTTGGACTTGAACAATCAGGCTGATATTTTCTAGATATTTTGTTCTAAGTGATTTGGGTTGCATGTTCTCTTTCTTTCAGCTTAAAAAAATTCCTATCATAAACTGTACCTATGTATCCGATCATCTTTTGCTCCCATACTCCTTGAAATTCTCCCAGTTGCCTTCTTTTTTTGAGCATTTCCTCAAAGAGCGATTTCAATGGAGGGCCTTGTATGTCTGAGGATATTTTTGCTATGCTACAGTATTTAAATGATAGTGTGGCTGGACTTAAAATGATAGGTTCAATGTTCTTTTCTTTGATACTTTAAAAATATTTCTTCATTGTTAGTTTGCATCTGGTTTTGCTGTTGAGAAGAATACTATTAATATGTTTTTTTGTTCCTCAGCTGTTAATATACTCTTTTTCTCCCTCGGTTTTTAGATTGTCCTCTATGTATGAATTGTTTTAAACCTCATTATAATGTGTCCAGGGATTAGTTTTTCCTTACCCCTATAGTTTGTCCATCACTCTTTCAATCTTAGATCTTTCATAATTTCCTTTTAAACTTTAGGAATTTATCTTCATCATATTCAGGACAAGGACAAGATAAGAATAAACACTGTCCCCACTGCTGTTTTTCATGGTACTTGCTAATATTATAAGGAAAGGAATGAGATATGGAAGGGTTGAAAGGGGAGGGAGAAAACCACTATTGTTAACAAAAGAGATAATCATCTACCTAGAAAGACCATCATAATTAATAGACAAACTGGTCAGACCAGCACAAGAGTTTAGCAAGGTTGTTAGAAGTAAGATAAACTCACCAGTATTATTAGGGTGTTTCAATAACATTAATAGTCAACTCAAAAATACAGTAAAAAGTAAGATGCCATTCACAATGTCAACAGGAGCTATGGAGCAAGTAAGAATAAACTTATCTAAGAATATATCATATCTCCAAGGAGAAATTTTTAAAACCCTAATGACATAAAACATGGAATATGATCTCAATAGATGGAGAGCTATATCATGCTTATCTGGATCAAATTAATCTTACAATGATACCAGTTCTCCTTAAAGCAATGTGTAAATTCAATAAAAAAAACAATAAAAATTCCAGTTAAATTTTTTGGAGGCACTTGATAAACTTATTCTAACATTTTAATATGTACTATAATAAATAATAGAGAAAACTTTCAAGTATTGGTAACAGACAATGAGACCAATGAAATAAATAGAATTTAAAGACAGGCCCATGTATATAAATTAGGTATTTCTATTTAAAAAAGAAGTTAACAGATACCAGATTAGGAGAGGAAATTAATATGGCGTAAAACTAATAACATCTAGAACTTTACATGTAGAATCTACAAAGAACTCCTTATCAACCAGAAAATGACAGCAACTCCACTGGAGAAATTGGCAAAGAAATGAACAGTCATTTTTGAGAGGAGGAAATCCAGAAGGTTAATAAGCATATGAAGAGGATATATTACTATGTATTAGTATTAGTAATGTAAAACAAAACCACAATGAGCTATCACGACATCTATTAGGTTGGCAAAAATTGAGAAGCTGGATTATTCCAAGTTTGGTGGTGAAATGGAAGCTGGTGAGGTATTGCATACACATGGACACCTCCTCCCCTTTTGAACATGCCAAGCACTTTGGCTTTGGATTCTTAGGCACAGAAAATGTCTTCCCAGAAAATATTAGATACTTTGACCGAGTCTTGATTCCCAAATACCTGCTTATATATGGTCATTGATATCTAAGTCTTTGCTGGAAGCACTGAGCTGAGCTGGAATCTGCTTCCCGAGCTTCAAGGCTGTCAGAGGTAGCAGGGCTTAGAGATAGGCATGATGGTGGGCTTACCTACTGACATTTTTTTGTTTTTACCTGCTGTTGTATAAGATTTGATTTGTCAGCTCACCTCTAGATTGTCTTCTTCCTTCCTTCTTGGAGAGGGGACTATTATCCCAGGTCTTCCATTGATCTTTTCTAGCTTTTAAACATGGCTGTCATTTGGCTTTCATTGACTTCAACTTAACGAGTATCTGTCAGTGTGATTATTTAAAATTCTGACTCTAGTAAGATGAGCTTGGGTCTGACAACCAGCCTATCACCTAATAGCCCTGTGACACTGAGCCAATTAAACTTCCTCAGCATCTGTTTCTCTAAGACATATGGATAGAAGTTTCCTCACCGTGTTGTGGTAACTTGATCAGATAATGTAGTTTTAAGACTTAACCTAGAGCTTGGTGCCTAGGAAGTAGTTGTTATTATGAGTGCTTCATGGAAATCATTATGCTAGGCTGTGAGAAGAGGTCAAGATAAATAAGAAAAAGTTCTTAATTTCATAGAACTTGGAGAAATAGGACAAAACTCAGAGCAGTGTGAGGTAGGACCAGTGAGGTCACATAGCCTCCTAAGAACCCTGTGAGACAGTCAGAGGACTGCTTCTTCATTTTATAAACAAGGAAATGGAGATTCAGAATTATCTGACTTGGTGAAGACACAGCCAGTGAGTGGCACAGCCTTGCTGGGAACTCACCTCTCCCTTGACTGAGCCAGGCCAGGTGGATGTGCCTCAGTTTCCAGTGGAAAGAGTTGTGTCAGATGGCTCTGTGGCAGTGTGGGAGGCAGAGCTGCAAGGCCCCGGACCTGCCCTAAAGGGCTGTAGTCAGGGAGTCTTGACCCCAGTGATTGGGTCACTGGGGCCTGAACATGTGGCATCAGATACATGGTGGCAGGGGGCTTCCAAACTGGGAGGGAGTCCATGGCCTAACCCGTATATGCTGTGAGGTGGTGAGCCTCACTACTTTTCCTTTGAGAAGCTTCATGCTAATAGGTGGGTGAGTACTAGGAAGGAGGCCTTGTTCATATTATATGGTTAAAGAGCATGGGCATCTTCTCTTCTCTTCCCTGGGTGAGTTGGCCTCTTTCTCCATGGGCATATGGACCATTGGAACCAGCGTGCCCCATATTTAAGAGTGATTAAGCCTCGCAATTTTGGTAATGGCTGGTGGGCCAGGGAGGGGCTATTGTGTTTCAAAATGGAATAAACAGAAAAGCAGTATTAAAAGAATGAAGAGGTTGTTTAGTGAGGCTTGAAGAGACTACAGGTGTTTCCTCCTGTGTTGAGAACCAGTGGCCCCTGGGAATTGCATTTCCCGTTGAGCAGGGCCCATGGCGGACTGAGTCCTGCTGCCATGCCTGTGGTATAGAAACCTGAATGGGCACCGTAGAACATCCAAAGTCTTCCAGGGGTCTTTGAGACTCACCCTGGGTGTGTGGGGATCCAAGACCTGACACGCGTGCTCGCACAGCTCACACTCACAGGCGCGTTCACACTCACCACACGTACCAGCCTGCAGTGTGGGGCAGCCTCTGGAGGACCACGGCCCCATGTGTGGTGGTGGTGTTCAGATCCGGCTGGCTGGCTCTGTGAGCAAGTGGTGGGCCTCCGAGGGCGCACACAGTGGGGAGACAGGCAGCCTGGCCTGAGGAAAAAGTGCGCCCGTGCCTGAGGTGGGAGGATGTGATGACGCGGTGCCCCCGCGCAGCGGGAACTCAGGCCTTTAAAAAGCTGAGGAAACAGCCTCTGAGCAAGCAGTGGCTCCCCTGGAGGAAAGCACACCCGGGTCTCACATTCAAGAAGCCAAACTGTCTGCTTCAAAGAGAAAAGGCAACATCCTGTCACAGGCCATGCTCTGGCAAAAACGTAAGTGGTTTGACCGTGGCTGTCAGAGCCATGTCAGCACAGGTAGGGGCCGGGAGCCACCAGCCAGCCCGGGACTGAGAGGATGTGGTCGTGCTGGAGGCATCAGGGCTCTCTGGGTCCCCCACCCAGGGCAGCGCAGGGGTGAAGTGGGTGAGGGAGCCCAGTGGCAAAACCAACCTGTCAGAGGTGATGCTCATTTTCCAGGCTAGTGTTCCAAGGTGGGACAGCTCATCGCGTCTCCGCTCTGAGGCATGAATCACTGTGGTGAGGAGAGGCCAGTTCATGATTCACAAAACGAAAAGCCAAATGTGACATTGGTTTTGGGCTGAGAGGGGAAAGCCATGGGGTCCTTTACACGCGTGGCTTTATTTTTCACAAAGAGCTGCTCTTTAGCTTGTGGTTCAATTCCCTGGGCCTGTTCCTCTCTGAGTTACTTAGGTTTCTGCTGAAGGTGTCATCTGTTTCTGTGAGTGCACGGGGACAACGTGGAACCTTGGCTTTGTTGGGCAGGTCTTTGCTCGCTCCACTGTCCTGCCTCTTGGCATTCTTCCTGGCGCTCTGTGGCAAGCCTTGTGGGTCCCCCGTGCAGGGGGTCAGCGGGTTTATCTTTAACCTTAGTGTTTATCCCTGGGGTTGGATGGAACAACTGTGAACTTTATTTTCCATTATGTGGGATCAAACAGAGACTTGTGTTATTAATAATTGAAATCATACAGAGAGTATCTACAACATTCCCTTCTTGAAATAACAAAGCCAACTCAACAGCCTCCTGACAGTTGGACATTTTGGGGGCTCATTTATGTACTTCCTCAAGGAAGAAATATTACCAAAAAATTACTCTGCCTTTTCAAAAGTGCTTAGGTCTTTAAAATGCCTTTTGATGAATTTATATACACCCTACTTCAAGCAAACTTAATATAAGAGAATAAAGATTTACAGAAAAGATAAATTGGGGAGTGTTTGTTTATTTTACAAAAAGATATTTTCTTGGAGGCCTTAAAGTTCTGAAAATAGACTTTCATTGATTAAAACATAACTTACAGTTACTTTATCACCAACTCATTGTTTCCTTTATTTCTTGTGTAAATTCTCTGGAATTGAGCTTGTTAATATATAATTCGGAGGAGAGATTTCAAAATTTCCCAGATTGTGAAGTCTCATTGTTTGATACTGGCAAGATGCATTTTTTTTTTTTAATAAAAAGAGATGAACTTTAATTTGGACTTGAGAGCTATGGAGTCCTTCCAAGATCATTAGAGATATGCTAATAGGGGTGCTGTGCATAGAATCCTGAGGGCAGAGCAGTAGTAGATATTGCTGAGGGCAGGTGGGTGCTAAGGTCTTTACTGGAAGCTGCTGAGTGTCCAAATGCCCTTACACTTAGAAGGCTGAATTGGTGGGTTTTATGTGAGCTCTTGAGGAACTTTTGCCTTGGTTCCTACCCATTCAAAGCAAGTAATTTTCCTTTTTGTTTTTATTTTCTTAAATCTTTAGGTTTCTCATATGTAAAATGGGGCAAAAATAATACCCATTACTCAGAGCTACCCTTATCTTGGTAAGCTAAGATGCCACTGAAATGGTGCTGGTTGCTTTGGTTTTGCTCAATATCTGTGATACGGGTTGCTTCCTTGCATTCATGAGCTGCCATATTCCCTACTCTTGGTTATGCACTACATTTTTCCTCCCTTAATTCCTCTTAAGAGATGAGCGTTTTTTTTTTTTTTTTTTTTTTTTTTTGTTTTGTTTTGTTTTTTTCCCCGAAGGAGATGGTAGAGGCATGTTTCTTGCTCACACTCTGGATGTCAGTCAGGTCCAACGAAACTCCATTTTAGGGAGACCACAATGTAAGCTGGTCAGTGGAATAACTGGAGTGAACGGTTCTACATGTTAATATGCACACAGTCAAGATTCTCTTTACTTGTCCTTCAGCACCCTAAAGGAAATTAGGAAAAGACCTGGGCACTGGACCCATTCCCTTACCCAGGATCCAAATAAAACCCTTGTCCAGGGCACTGAGGGGACCTGGGGGACTAGACCCTGTGGGAAAACCAGTAAAAACAGGGCAGCTTTGTCAGCCCACTTTGAATCACCTGATGGAAGGGCAGAGTTTGAAATCAGACATGAAGAGTGCTGAAAAGGCACTTTCTTTTTTCAGAAAACACCCTCGGGCCATGATCTGAAATGACTGTACTATGGCGTTCTGGAAAGGGTTAAGAAAACATCCACTTTTGTACATGTTGCCTTCTCCCTATCTGGCCCATGATCCCTTTGTGGGGACTAAATGTGAACATTGGCTTTGATTCAGATCGGCTCACAGAACTGCTGGCACCACAAGTGGAAATCTGCAGATCCTGAGCCTTGCTTGATTGGCCAGTTAGATAAAGAGGTCACTCTACCTGCGGATTCTCCTTCTGGGTTCTGCTCTTGGTCCTACAGACCCTGCGTCCATAGGAATTCACATCCATTCCAATGAGAGGCTCTTGTTAAGGAACTAGTCACAGTGCAGTATAAACAGCAGGAACAATGGAGGTCTGGGTTTGAAAGCTGGCTCTGCAGCTTCGTTATTCAACTTTCGCAGATTCTGAAAAATCTGGAGGACCAGGGTTTTAATGCCTGCCTTATGAGGTTTTAGTAGGAGCTAAGGTAGGAAATGTAGGCCATGTCATCAAGTCTCCTGAAAGTGGTGATAGAGCACCGTCCATCCTGTTGCTCATCTGGAGGGATCGGGGAGGTGCTAAATTCCTTCCTGTCTATCCTTTTCTGCACTTTAATTAGAATAGTTAAAAAGGCACAATCAAAATATTCTTGAATGATAGGATCTTTCAAACCAAGAGTTTTCCAAGAGACTAAAGCAGAGGTCTGCAAACCGTGGCCTGAGTGCCAAATCGGCCCGACCCCTTGCTTTTGAAAATAAAATTTTATTGGAACATGGCCATATCTCTTTATTCGCATATTGCCTAGGGCTGCTTTTGCTACAACGGAAGCGTCGAGTAGGTGTCATAGAGACTATATGGCTTACAAAGCCTCAAATATTTACCATCTAGTCTGTTTTAGAAAAAGTTTGCCAACCTCTGGGTTAAATGATTTGGTCATACTTTACATGTTCGTTTCCTTAGGTTTCTCTGCAACCAGGGGTCACACATGCTCAACATTAGTGGGAGATAAAAACTTGCAGCAAATTGATTAAATGATTTGCATAAAGCCAAAATTTGATTTGATTGACTTCTTCCTTAATAGCTATGGAACGGAGTACCATCAACTGAACACCATTTGTTGGAAAATGAATGAATCATAGGACTGCTTTTTATTGTTGTTATTTGTATAAGGGAAAGATTTACATGATAATAAAAGGCAGGCTGACTGATTTTCTTTGAATTGGTAGCTTGTCTTGATTCCTATAGATATGACCCTGGTGTGCAGGGAGGCATTATAAGAACAGGAAATAGTGATTGCTTAACTATTAAGGTATGGACATGCCTTTGCTTTCAGACAACTGCAACAGAGCAGAGGTTCCCAAACTGATAAATTAGGGCCTCAAAATTCTCATTATTGTTGAACTCTGCATTTACTCCAGGGTTCTACTAAACAGCCATTTTTTTTAAAGGGAAGTTAAAAAATTCAGTTAAATATAAGGAAAACTTGCAATAACCACATAATATTTGAAACCTTTCTCTTGCAGAAACTCAGGCAAATGTCTAACAAGAAGTGATTTAGGTCTGTGGAGTACCTCTAACATTTCTGTTCTGTGTTACAACCTTTGTCCATTTATTTTTTTTTCCTTTGTCCATTTAATAAGCACCTTTACTTCTCAGCAAGTTTGTGTATTGATTCAGTGGTTCTTGGTGATAAGGACAAGTAGAGTCTAAAGGACAGACACAACCTCACACGCACAGAAGGAAGTGAAATAAGGGACAAACGTAAACCAAGCACACAGATTAGTTGGTAAAAGAGCAATAATTTTCAGAGTGGACACTTTACTTCCATCTCTCTATTATTTACTAAAGAAAAACATCAACTTTGTTTCTCTCTATTCCCAGAAAGTTCCCAAGTCAGAGGTTTGGAAATCTCTCTTCCAGTTCAAATCTGCAAATCTGTTCTGTTGTGAGGAACAGAAACAACCACACTTATTAGCTAAAAATCTGGACATTTAATTCACTTACAGGTTCTGTAAATTTTTGCTTTTTAAACCTTCCCATTACAAAATAAAGGTACTAGGTTCTTACCACCCCTCTGCCTCGACTTCTTTCTAAAGAAGTTTGTTTTCCAGCTTATGAAGATGAATACCAATTTCTGACTTCGATCCAACCAAACCAAAGTTGGCTGGTTGATTAAGATCATCAACATATGTTTCATAGTTATGAAATACTTAGCGATGTTCTAGTTTTCTCATTTTTGTAGTGCTTGATAAGTGTGAGACTGCCTGGAATGGAGAAGCCTTTTCTGGAATCTTCTTGTCCTGGTTGTGTGATGCTATGAGCAAAACATTGTTCTTGCAGGCAGGAGACATGGAGCTATAAGCTATTGGGAGCGGGGCCATAGGCAAGCCACCTATGCTCTCTGGCTCTACACTGGGACTTGCCTCTACGTGGCTAAGAGGCAGGGAGATTGAACTTGACTCAAGTTCTTTTCCAGCTATAATTGCTGAGCTTTCATGCAGGCTTATACAAAATAAATTCATGTTTTAAACACCAAGTCTTTAATATTAGAAAAGGCATTTTTCCATCTGCACAGAGCTGTGCTTTTCAACCTTGGCTGAACATTGGAATGCTCTGGAAAATTTAAGAAATACTAATGTCCAGGTCCCAACCCAGAGGGTCTCATTAAATCGCCCTGGGCATTAGATTTTCAAATCTTCCCAGGCAATTCTAATGTGCAGCCATGCTGAGAATAATTGACCTGGAGGTTGCAAGGAATGGCTTCTAATATAGCTTTGGACCTTACACTGCTGTGAGCTGCACATGTTCTGTCCTTTCCATAGGGACCCATACCAGCTCTGGGGC